ACAACAACAACAACAACAACAGGTCTTTTAGCTAGCAGACTAGTTCTTTAATCACTGAATCACCAGGACTCCTACCCATCTGTTAATTACTGCCATTGAGTCAATTGTGGTTGGCAACCATGCATCAAGTTTCCGAGACTGTAAATTTTTGTGGGAGAAGTCTGCTTATTTTATCCTGAGGAATGGCTGGTAGCTTTAACTGCTGACCTTTTTGCTCAGCAGCCCAACATGTTGTGCACCATGTTACAAACCTATTAGAACAGCTCAAATAATAATAAAGACAACAACACAACACCAAAACTTGAACCACCAAGTGCTAATGAGAATGTGGAGTGATAAGAACTCTCACTTATTGCTAGTGGGAATGCAGAAGGACACAGACACTTTGGCAGACAGTCTGCCAGTTGTTTACAAAGTTAAACATAGACTCCTATTCGACCCAGCCATCATGCTTAGATATTTACCCATATGTCCACAGGAAAAAATGTATCCAAAAATGTTTATAGTAGCTTTATTCATAATTGTAAAAAATTTGAGCCACCAAGGTCTCTTTGAATAGGTTAATGATTAAACAAATTATCCTACATCTTGTTGTTGTTGTTGTTATGTGCCGTCGAGTTGCTTGTGATTCATAGCGATCCTATGTACAACAGCCCTAAACTCTGCTCTATCCTGTGCCAATCACACTGTCTCTGACACACACATCCCGATTATCCCAGTCACTGCCTCAATCCACCTCATAGAGGGCCTTCCCCTCCTGCGCTGTCCCTCCACCCTTCCAAGCATGATATCCCTCTCCAAGGACCGGTCCCTCCTTACGACATGTCCAAAGTATGTTAGACGAAGCCCCAGAATCTTTGCCTCCAAGGAGACACCCAGTTTAACCCTTTCCAAGATGAATCTATATAATGAATATTATTTAACAGTAAAGAGAAATGAGTTATCAAGCCACAGTAAACATTTGGGGATCCCCTAGGTAAGCACTATATACAAATTTCTTCATGTAACTATTAAATGTTTCTTACTAAGTGAAAGAGACTAGTCTGAAAAAGTTACCATGGTAATTCCAGCCTTTTATCTTCTTGATAGAGTTTATCAGGCTGGGATGGGAAGGTAATAACTCAGTTGCTCTGGAGAAAAGTAGATGGCATTAAGAAGAGATGACTGTGCTTTGGCTGGACGTTATATAATGATGACTCTTACCCATTGTGTTAAAGAATATTTTTTATAGGTAGGTCTCTGGGTGGCACATATGTTTCATACTTGACATCCATTAAAGGTGAATGGTTCAAATGCACCCATTGGCATTGGTGAAAAAGGTCTGGTGATCTCTTCCATGAAGATTACAGCCAAGAACACCCCATGGTGCAGTTCTTCTTAAGGAGTTGCTGTGGGGCAGAATCAACCAGATAGCAATAGGGGTTTGTTTTTATTTAAATAGATGCTGGAAATCCACCTCAA